GCTGATCTTGTATTGCTGCCATCAGGTCTGCTATGCTGTAGTTTGATTTGCCGCTTCTCGTTTCCATTTTTTTTATCCCACTTCTGACACCAATTTGTTACGTCTCCGTTTGTTAATAAACTTTCCGTAACTTCGTTTCCGACGAAACTTTAACGACACAAGTCCTTACTTGATAAAACTGGTTTATTCTTTCCGAATACAACTTTACGATACACTTAATTTCAATATTCGCGCTAAAACAAACACTATAACGAACGTACCTTAACTTCAACAATACTCTGTGAGTGCAGTTCAATTATTCACTATCTACATACACATTATTCTCCCGTCACGTTGTCACCCTCTTTTATATACCAGACTACCCTATATCTAGTAAATACTAGAGCATTCGCCATGGTACAGGATAGTTCTAGAAAATAGGTGGCGCCACACCAGTCACGTGACCTCGATGACGCAACAATATATATATATAGTGCCTAGACCAGTACTATATCTTGTATCCTAGCTGGCCTGATGAGCCCTGGTATTAAACAAAAGGCTTTTTATGTGACAAATATAACTATTTTATAGTGTATTTTTATTGTAATATCATTTTTTGAGACATTAGCATAGGTTAAGTTACTAAAATTTCATTACAGTAAACGAAGACCAGGAATAAAAATAGTAATCATGTTTCCTTAAGAAAAATCTAACTGAGACATTGTTATGTACGAATTGATAGTGGTCCACCGGTAAATCTGAGGGCTAAAAACCGGGTTTCGATACCCGCGGTAAGAACAGCACAGATAGCCTATTGAATAGCTTTGCGCTTAACAATAAAACAACGACAACAACAAAATTGATAATAACAAACGCAGTCAGATTCATGGTTATTTCCAGATGTCCTTTCACTGATAATCTCAGTCTTTAGAGGTATTAATCTCTATGTTAGAAGTACGTTGTGAAATAGATTACCTTGGAGATCTTCAGATGGATGCGCTCTTAGCGAAATATCTGGTGTTTGAAGGGTTGATACGTTAGTAGATAAAGTGGCGAAATATCTGTAGTGTTTGAAGAGTTGGTATGCTCGTGGATAAATTGTCTGAATATCTGTAGTGTTTGAAGGGTTGGTACGTTAGTGGATAAACTGGCTGAATATATGTAGTATTTGAAGGCTGTGATACGTTAGTAGATAAACTGGCTGAACATCTGTAGTGTTTGAAGGATTGATACGTTAGAAAATAAACTAGCTGAATATCTGTAGTGTTTGAAGGGTTGGTACGTTAGTAGATAAACTGGCTGAATATTTGTAGTGTTTGAAGGGTTGGTACGTTAGTGAATAAACTGGCTGAATATCTGTAGTGTTTGAAGGGTTGATACGTTAGTAGATAAACTGGCTGAATATCTGTAGTGTTTGAAGGGTTGGTACTCTAGTGAGTAAACTGGCTGAATATCTGTAGTATTTGGAGGGTTGATACCCTAGTGAGTAAACTGGCTGAATATCTGTAGTGTTTGAAGGGTTGGTACTCTAGTGAGTAAACTGGCTGAATATCTGTAGTATTTGGAGGGTTGATACCCTAGTGAGTAAACTGG